AAAACTGTGATTTCAGGTAACGCTGCCAAATCTCAGGTTTCATTCTGCACTGAAGGGCTTTGAAGCACTTCCTTTGCAATGAAGTTGTTTATTTTCAAAAACATGTTTTAGCAGCAGCTCTGGGTTACTGAACCCTAAAACTTAACTACGAGCCAGAACTCCAAGGTTCTGGGCTTGGCCTAGGGACTTTCTTACTGTATGACTTGAGACTGTCTCTAGAGCTTCCTAGGACTTGGCAAGATTTCTTTCAGGCCAGAAGCAATTTGAGAGAACCTAGAGAGAATGTACGGGGCTTCTTCCTCTACGGGACTAGCACTGTGTGTGTGTGTGTTTGTATGTGTGATGTTTCATGCAAAAGTATCTAAAAGTTGAATTTCAGATAGTGCCAGATTGAGCCATAAGGAGAATGAGGGATTGCATTTTCATAGATCTGCGCAGCACTAGAAGACAGAATTTGGTGACGGTTGACAAGTAGCTTTGGGTTTAGTCTTTTTCAGTCTTCCAGATGAAAAAGAGACCCTTGCCACCTCGTTCACAATATCTCAACTGTGGGTGGGGACATACCCGGGCACAGGAGAACAATGGCTTTACTACCAGGCCGGCTCAGAAACAGCTGCAGAAGTGCTGGGAACAGATGTCTTATCTGCACCAATGCCTTATCTGTCTGGCAATCTGGAATGAAGTTCAGCAAAGGTGACTTGTAGGCCGATGACTCCAGATTGAAGCCAAAGGCTAGTACTATGTCCTACACAGCCCTAACCCATATACAATTGGTAACAAGTGCTAATTGGTAACAGGTGAGACTCAAGGCTCCCTACTCTACTGTAGGAAAGCAACTGAGATAACCCATAGGTATTCTTTCTTTAACACGGGGAAAGATTTCCTGGTCAAGTGAGACATCTGGCACTTAAGATTCAATTCAGGAGCTATTTCTGTGTACATGCCAATTATCTGGTCTTGAATAAGTCACTTTTTGTGCCTCAGTTTCACCATCCATTAAATGGGGCTGGGAGAGGAGAGAATACCAGTTGACAATCCAGTATATTTTTCTATAGCTCCTGCATTTGGGAAAAAAAAAAATCATAGATCCCTACCTTTTTCAGGGATCTGGAAAGCATTTTGCTTAGGTCTATTAAATAGATAGAAAACACTGGGGCACTTCTCTCGGATTGTTTTGTAATTAGATGGGGTTCATAATGTATCTTCAAATAAGAGAAAATGGAGCTTTCTGATTGTATCAGTCTGATAACCGTAAGCAGTTCACAGTAAGGTAAGAAGGTACATTTTGGCGGAAGCCAGCACTGCATTTGATGTATTCTTAACTCCGCGCACAGGCAGGCTTTCAAGCCATGTTATCTGCCCCCACATCTTGACCTAATTTAACAAGTTGCCATGGGAGCCCAGTGAAGGTTGATGCAATTTTCTTATCTTCGGAGGAAGAATGTAACTGTGCAAGAGAATGTGAAAATTCAGTTTCTAACTGATTTCCACACGTACAGTGCAGTAACGAAGACATCACATGAAGAAGGGAAATGTATTCCTTTGAAGGTGATATAGACAAAGGCCCCCCGCGTGTAATGGCAGGGAAATGACTCTCTTCCCGGCTCGAGGGAGCCATGTGTACACACTGTAGTTCAGGCCAAAGAATGCTGATATAACGATGCCACTGCTCCTTCAGGGCGGCCACATATACTCTGGAGTATTCGGATTTTGAGGGAATGAACAAAAAGGAGGCAGCCCGTGAACTAGAAAACGGGTCTGATTTTTATGAGCAATAAAAAGTTTGCCAGCATTTAACCAATGCTTCCTACTTTCCAAAGCACTTTTCCAAACTTCAGCTCACCTTAACACATCTATGTAAGGTTAGGCGTAAGGTCATGCTCCCAGGCTGGTGGAGGGGGCTGCCTAGGGATGTTCCTCTATCCCTCTCCCCGCTCCCTAGGATGTACCTGGAATGATGAGGGACCACAAGGAACGTGCAAGGGCAAGGGAACCACCGTGTAGAATTAGTCTGCAGGGTGGACAGATACTCGTAGGCACTGAGCCCAGGGTAAACGTCACCAAAATTTCAGCTGGCCCCCACATGCCTCACAAATCCTGACCTTCATTCAGACCGCAGCATGAAGAAAATCCAGTCCAAGTCTAAGGACAATTATAATATCTTGAACTCGACCAGATAATGAACCCCCCAAGGGCAACTGGCGCTCGACATGTGCTCAGAAACATTTGCTGAAACAACGGATTTATTAAAACGGAGCTCCCGGCACCCCATGTCTAGTACAACGTCTAGCACTCATTTGTTTAATTAATTGATTTAGTTAAATTACATTTTCACAGATCTCCCACCACCAAGATAAGGATGAACACTTCCACTTCACTAAAAGTAGAAAAGGGTACAAGGTAAATTTGCCTAAAATCACACAGTGTGCTAGAGCTGGGGCGGGGGAGGGGGCAGGGGACTTCTTGTTTTCTGGGCTATTGTTCTTACCACCGTCTGAGATGGTGGGAACAGTTACATCCCCAGGGTCAGAGAGCAACACTGGGTGGTGAGATGCTTAAAACGTACTTTTAAATTCAAGGGACTACTTTAGTCTTTGAGACCTTTCACTAAGTCACCTTGGCTTTTCTTCCACTCACTCAATGTTTTATTCCCTTAGAGAGAGAGAAAGAGAGACAGAGAGACAGAGGGAGGAAGGGTGGGGGGGGCGCTGAGAGCACCTTTTAAAAAAACCCATCCAGATAAAGGGGGACATCCATCATAACTGAGATCTCCAGGACATAACTACGTTTGTGCTGAAAGAACTTTCTAAGGCTCTTATTGGTTTGGCTCTGAGTCTAGATCGCCAGAGAAGATTCTTGGGCAGCACACGGATGTTAGCTATCTTGACGGCAGTTCATGTCTCTAATTTGTATTTCATATTTGTTCCTAGTTCTTAGAATTCCCAACTCACCCCTTTCTGTCTCACCCTGAAACTGGGACACTTGGAAAGATTCCCCAACTCTTTTCTTCGGAGATACTAAGATCATCTCAAATCACCTTGAGTCACTCTCATAGACTGTTAGCTCTGCAGATTTCTCCCAACAGAAAAGGCAGTAACTAATACATGTCACACTTTCAGAGCGGTTTCTAGCTGAGGTGCACATCAGGCTTTTACCCTTACCAGAAACTTCTAGATCTTCTGCAGTGCAGCCAGAGATCCTTACCAGAATCTTATCCCATGAAGGCTGACCTCAACCGTAAGGCTTTCTTTGACCATAACCTGACTTTAGAACTTCAAGTTAGTTTATTCATCTCGTTATCCACAAAACCACCCTAAGTAGCAAACTTTTCATTATGACGTACCTAGCTAAGAGAGAATAATGCCATGGGAGAAGAACGGTGATCGTCAATGCTGGTGGTTATAAGGGAGATGATGCCAGAAAGAATACAGAAATACTTCCAATAAGGACAAAGCAATGTAAGGGCTTGCTGGAAGCTGCAGACGAGCTGGACTTTACCCTTGGCAAATGGCAGAGCCCAGGGGAAAGGAAGCAAGCACCACCAGTTAGAGACCCCGCCACCTGCAAAGTCCTCGGGATCATGCTGGAGGCTCCCTGGCCCTTCCTTTCTCCCCTTGATTAAGCTGCACTTCTCCCTCCTTCATCAGTATCCAACCGGAGTACAGGGCTTAAAATACCTAGGAGCTAAAGCTACAGGAGCCAGCAGTCTCACACATCTTGAAAGACACTGAATGTGCTTCTCCTCATTCCAGGCGTCCTTAATGGAAAGGGGCCTCCTCTCTAACAGTCTGCGGTCCAGAGATGGAAGAGGATTCACTTGAAAGGCAGTATGTTCCCACTAGTGACACACTAGTGATGTCCAAGCAAAGACTATGGGAGGTTCCAGTAGGAAGAACAGGGTAGGGGGCGTTTACGTCTTTCCAGGTCCTGACTCTCTATAGAGACCTTGTCACTTCCCCAAAACACAGACATAAGTCCTGAGCACCAATTTGTGCAACGCACAGCCCGAGGAGCTGTGTGGGATGTGGCATAAAAGGCGTACTTCTGATCTCTGAAGGAGTCATTTCTCCAAGCTTCTGAGTTGTTCAAAGCTCAGCTGGCTTTCCTAGTAAAATCTCGAGACCTCCCTGACACAAGAATAAGGATCAAGCACGCTCCTAAGATCAGACCGGTACATCCCTGGAAACGCAGGTAGGACAGTTTGCCTCCATCCACAGAAAGGGTCCCCACGTGTCAACCTGTCCAGCGTGGAGCTGAAGAGAAGAGTGGCCTACACCACAGCTGAGTGATCAAAGCTTAAAGTAAGCTCCACTCACAACACAATTCCTAATTCTTAGAAAATACTACATTCCTACAGAAAGGATCTAAGTTAACCCGTGAATGCTCCTTGGATATTTCTCAGATACACTCATCACATATCTCCAAGGTTAGGCAGCACCCGTGCTAACAACTCACTCAGACAATGAACTATTTTATCAGCAGCTTCTCAATCAAAGCCTAAGCTCTCAACATCCATCTTCCTTTCCCTATGTTCTTTCTTCATTCACCACTGCTAGAACTTTCACTCCTAGAGGAAAGTCAGTAATAAAGCTAAATGAGAAAAAAACAAACAAAAAAAGGGTTTCCTACAGAGGCCAAGATCTGGACAGAGCATAGGGTGACTAAGGCTTCTCTTCCTATTTGAACAGCTAGCCTAATGAGAATGCTACTACGGAAGAATCTAGAGTGTGGCCATTCAATGATGCCCTTGAGAGAGAAGTTCTTCCTACCACTCTTGGAAATGATCCCCTGGGATAGAACGATACTGTTTACTTCCAAAAATCGATGGCCATTCACAAACAGAGTGGTGTGAGAGACTGACCAGACCTCCTACTGTCTTCTTCTCCCCACTCAGCCAAAAAAGAGAGTCTCTAGGGATCTGTGCATGATGCCTTCCAGCACCGAGCCCACCCATGGCAACAAGCCCACAGAGGCTGCTGAGGTAGGGGCAGGACGCCTACCTGTGTAGCCAGCCAGGGCAGCAGCAGGAATGACAGGCTTGTCCTTGTTGAGGTCAGCACGGTCACGCACATAGTCCTTGAAGGTGCCCTTGGGCTTGTGGTTGGGCAGGGCGGCTGGATAGTCCTCTGAGTCGAAGCTGTCATAGGAGGGGACGCGCTGCAGGCTGTTGAAGGATGACTGGCTGCTCCAGGACTGGGTGAGGCGGTCACAGCTATCGTAGCTCTCCACGCTCTCAAAAGAGTCCTGGCCCCCGAGCTTACCTGGAGGTAAAGGAGGTGGGAAGAGGGCAGGGGAGGAGGAATTGGGAAGAGACAACTGTAAAAACCCTCTTAGTGAGGACGGATTGCTAATCAGACCTGCAGGAGGGATGGAAGAAGGGAGAGGCCAGTGGAAACGGAAGCTCAGGGGTTTACGCTGGGGAAGGGCGCCCCACGGGGCTGAAATCATGCTGCTCTTGTCTGTCAGAGAGAGACGGCAGTCTGTGGGGCCTCAAGATTCCTGGGGCCGGAAATCCAAAAGTGGAGAATCACACTGGATCTTACGGAATTTCCGGCTGACGTATTCGACTCAACGAAGAGATGAAGAAATTGCAGCAGTCAGGCTCAACTCCCTATTCCCACTCAGGCCAATGAGCTGATTTCAAAAGGCCCAATTTGGCAAAATATTTTGGTCATAAGAAAAAATATTCCATTAGACTAAGAGTGGATTGACCTTCCCTGACCTTGGAACTTAAGTGTTATTTTTTAGCATTTTTTTCCAAATACTATTTTAAAATGAAATCTACGCCCTGCCTCCATGCCTTCTCAAATAGAGAAAGAAGTTATGAGATGCTTTTTCCAGGAGGTTAAAAAAAAAGAACCACTATCGCTCTTCTAAATAGAAATCCATGGTCTTCATCTTCTCCAAGTACAATTTTGTGTTTGAAATTTATACTTCAGTGGGGGAGTGGGGGCAATAAAACATAAAAGAGTTGATTGAAGGGTTAAGGTCCATAGCTATGTCAGAAATCCTTTACTCCATGAGTTGCTTAAGGCATTCTTAACTGACCACAAGATCATGCAAGTTCATTAATTTCCCAAACCAGGTTATAAACAGCTGCTATGATTGCGTAATAGCTCCTAGAGAAATTTCCATTGGCAAAAATGCCATGAAAAGGGAGACAAACCAAAGAAAATAAATAATTTGGAGGAAAATAAATGTATCTAAAAGCTGAAAAGCTCACAGGAATATTTTCTGTGTTCCCCTTTCAGAGACTTTTCAGGCAACCTAAATTAAATTACGGGAGACTCCATGACCGTCTCAGGTCAGCACAAGCCAAGAGGCAAACGGACGTGACAGACGTGTGTGTAGAAATAACAGGTCAATCCTCCATTGTTTAGGGGCGGCAGGTCTGCTATAAAGTTCAAATCCCAGAATGCGGCTGGCCGATACAAGCTAATACTGGTGGGTTTCTGGCATATTCTCCCCTTCATAATAGTGAGGATTGGTTAAAAGAATGGAATTCAAATACTTAATTATGGTGTCCAAACCAAAATTAGATGTATAGTAATTGGGAGGGAAGATATGTTGCTCATAAAATTTAAACACGCAACCAAAAAAATCCACAATAAAAGGTATTCAGTTTAATATATACTTTTTGCAAAGCCACTGTTGTAAGAAGATTTCCCAAACCTCTTATCCCCTCCAGTGTTGCTGCAAACAGAATGGTAGGTATATCCACTTAATCTCATTCCTTCCTCGAGTCGTCCGAAGAAGAGTAATCTCCAGAAGGCAAACTAGGAGATCTCCATGAGTTCCTGGCACTGCCTACCCCACCCACTGGCATATCTGTAAGTTTTTTATTATCCTAACAAATGAAAGAATCATCTCTTCCAGAAATTCACAGGAAAAGACTCAAGAAAACAGCCTACAACCGGAATCCAATAGCCTCTTTTTAACAGAACAAGGAAAATTGGCGGCATCTCTTCAAGAGGTGTTTGCTGAGACCAGACACCCATCTTAATGGTCATTCAGGTTCTCCACAAGGCAAACACACCAACAGCTTAAGAAAGACAACTCATCTCTTCGAACACCCAGCAAGTGACTGATACTTAGGCAGTATTTCTACCTCAATCTCTCTGAAACTGTCACTTTTCCATTTGAAGGGCACGTAGACTGAACTTTCCAAAGCAGGCGAGCTGAGTTTCCAAGGAGCCCCAAGAAGCAAGGGCACGAAACTAGGCCATAACCACCCTCTGGCAGCTTCTCAAACATGAGCCAAATGTAACTCTGTTGAGAGTTGTGGTTTAGAGCAGTAGGCTGCTTTCATTTTAGCTCTATTTCACAATCCTGGAGCTGGGAACCTTCGTTTACGGGTATTTTCTCCAAAAATGGGTTGGCTCCAACTGGATGAGGCACTCAGTTATGCTACTGTGCTCAGGCAGGGAAGCCTGTGTCCTCTAAGACGCCCACTGGCTACCTTCTCTGTGAACTGTCTCAGAGCAAGGCCTTCCAAAGCCATCTGACTCCACCAGACAGACCTCAGAGCACGCTACGCAGCAGAGGGGGACCCTCCCCAGCCATACTCTGGACAGACTGACACAAAGACAGTACTTAGAGTCCGAAGAAGGGGGACACAGAAGCGCTTTGTATCCTATAATGCGGTCCACAGATACTGTGATCATTACTACTAATCACCAGCCAACAGTCATGCTTTCTGTCTAACCAATCACCACGCGTCCGAGGGCAGGTCTGCAGGACCTCTAACATGCAAACAGCAGCCGTGAACAACAAGGGCTTCCTCTCCAGGGCCAACGCCATGGTCGGTTTGCTGTGAGGGAGGGGGAATGGGGTCAGAGAGAAACAACTCCTGCCTCTTTGTACAGGTCGCTATCTGGTCCCCAGAAACTGACATGGGGTTGGAAGGATGGTGGAGCCCCAAACCCAGGACTGAGAGAAGGAGAGAGAGAAGGGACGATCATAGAAAAGCAAGGCCAGGCACAATTTAGAAACAAGGTGACGGCAGAGCTCCCCGAGTGACTCCATGGCTAGGACCAACCCTCAGCCCTGGCCTCATCACATACATGCACAGAAAGCCCCGGGAGAAAGAAAGTGGTTTTGTTGCTTTGACCTGCCTGAGGAAAAAAAAAAAAAAAAGATACACACACATGTGTGTGTGTATTTAAATAGACATGCATCCAAAAATAAGAAAAAAGAGTCAGAAAGGGGAAGGCAAAACTGGTTCCACCCATCCCCTTCAGTCTGAGACACAAACACCCTAGGGCCCTAAGAAGGAAGACTGCAGGTTCAGATTTTGCTAGGGACTTTCCCTCTGCAGGGCCTGCCACTTTTCCTAGGGCCTGCTGGGAGGAAGCATGAGACTGACGGTCGAAGAAGACGACAACGACGTTTATGGCCCCTGGTGGCTGCTGGGTGATTCTTCAAAGTAAAGATGTTTTTGGGCTCCACTCTGAGAGACTCAGAGGAGGAGAGCAGGGTCAACCCTGAGCAGAAATCCCTATGAGGCCTGACTCCCGTGACTAAAAGCCTCAGATCACCACTTGGATGAGCTCCTGTTCTCTCCCTGTCTGTAGTGTTTTCACCTTTATCCACTCGAAAAGTCTTTTTTTTTTCAACTCTCTAGAAATTAGCTAGTTCTTCCTCGATGAACAAATCCCTCCGTACAGGGGACTGAACCTCCCTCAGACACAAAGCTATCCAGGCACCTGAGGAATCAGGCTGCACCTCTGAGCATTAGTGTCCTGATCTTAAATTCAGGTGTACTTAACCGTTTTCTTTCCTTTTCTTTTCTTTTCTTTCTTTCTTTCTTTTTTTTTTTTTTAACAAAGTCAGTCAGCTCTATTTTGAAACATTTACTTCACTGTCGGTGAATATTTTATCATTATCATAATGGTCATGTCAACAGGAGTACCTTCTTTTGGAAGCCTCTGGCCACCTCTTTCCCTGGTCCTTTAGCTAAATACACAGTTTCACCACACTGCTGATGACTGGTTCCAAATAAACCGTTGGTTAACCATCTTATATCTTCCCAAACCAGAGAAGTCACAGGAGGCTGGAGAGCCCAGGCTGAGATGCAGAGGTCATTCAGATAACATGCCCGGGTAGGCAGTCTGACACAAGACGACTCTAAGAGGATTGCTAGGCTACATGGGAAGCTAAGGGCTTTCCAGGAGGGTCACCTGAACCATTCTTATTGGATTATGTCTTCCCCAAGCAAAATGCTCTCAAAGAAGATAAATCACACCTTAAAAAACAACCACCTTCCACTAGAGTTATCACTTAATGAAATATTTTACCCAAATGAGAAATGGGATTGGTCATCACGCCAATTCCACCATGGACACACGGTCTTTGTCATCATGGCGGACTGGGCCACACTTTCATGTTGGAAAGCTCTTAATATCTAGACATCCTAACGGAAAGGCTGAAACTCAGGAATATACAGGGCCAATAACAAAGAAAAAAATAACGGGACCTGAAAAACTCACAAAGTCAGTTACATCTGAAAACCCAAGAGCTTCTAGAGAAGAAATCTGACCCACCACGACTGGTCCTCCCCATGCACATGTTGTCCGGGGTTACGACTTCTTGCTTGATGGCAAAGTAGTCAGTCTGCAAGGTGTCTGTCTGCAGAGGGTCTCGGAGAATGACCGAGGGGTAGTCGTTCTCATACTTGAGGGAGAGGAGCTCCTCCGAGCTGATGGGATGGAGTGTCTGGTAGGACTCTGTGATGAAGCTAGGCTCTGAGAACTCTGAGGGAGGAACACACTGAGCATGCTCGATACCATAACCTGGAAACAGAGAACATGTGCCGTTGGAGAGAGGGCCAATTTGGACCTACAACAGGCAGCTCTTCGCCATTCGCAGCAGCCCCACAAGACGAAAACAAGCTGACTACCTTAGAGAAGGAAAGGAGCATATGTTAGGTCGGAAGGGTCTGGGTGCTTCAGCTTGCTCAACTAGTTAACAAGAGACTTCCCTTTTCTGGCTTAATTTACACATCTCTAAAATAGGGATGATTGCAATCCCCCTCAGAGCGCTGTGAAGAAAAGCAAAGACTACGTGTGTAAAACGCCGGCCAACCCTTCTTGCTCTCGCCATCTCAATACTTAATATCATTGCTGCTATTAGAATAAAAATCAAAATAAAATAAAAAGGTAAAAGGAAAACAAACCTGCTCAAGACTCCGCTCAAAAGCAAGGTCATCAGATAAGAACAGCCCTACCCTAATCCGCTTCTTCTGGCCCCCTCTCCCGTAGGGTCAGGTATCGTTTACCACAAGGGAAAAAGGCTTTACCTTCTCTAACAGAATCTAAAGCCACACGGCACACTCTTGAGGAAGGATCAGAGGAAATGCTGTCGTATCTACTAGTAAAAGGGGAAAGAACAAGGGCCACAACCAAATCCCTAACCCCAACATCTGATGGCCACCATGGTACGCAGGATCAAGGAAGATCAAAGTTCAGGGGCCAAGTTGCAGTCCCTCTACATGACTTCCATGCTGAAGGTATTGGGAGAGATCCTGGTGTGTAGAGGAGTTGGCAGGTTAATAAAAATACCAACATGTAAAGAGGTTGAAGCCTCGTGCCTCGGGGGAACAGCAAAATAAATAACAGAGAGGCCACATTGAAGAAAATGTTATTTTCCACAGAATTACCATGAAGGAGCCTGAGGTCATGTGGGACGGGAATCCTTTCCTAGGTTCCCACTACAGCAAGCAAAATGAGAGAAGAGCGGGAGACAAACTTACTAATGAAGTAATCCGAGGTATAGCGGGATTCTGGATAGGTAGGGTTGACTCCATTCACTTGATATGGTTTCACATCCTCTGTAACAGACAGGGTGGGGAACCAAACAGAGAGGTCAACCGACAAGTAACGTTTGGCCTAAAAGGACCTTGGACGCAAGGACTACAATGATCTCAGTCCCTCCTCCAAGAAATCGGCATGTTCATTAACTGAGCTGGTGTCTGAGTCTACCCTGACTGGGGCCTTGTCTAGAGATGAGATCACAAAAGTATGGCTAAGTCGATTATTTCAGTAGCAGCAAAATGGGATTTAATATCTTGGAAGCAGCACCAGTGAGTAATCCCTAAGGCTTGGGAAGGCATCCCACCCTCATTCTGATGCATGGTTGCTCCACGTTACCATGAGAGGCTTCAAGATGTCTTGGGAATTTACCCGAATCGGTCCCGAATGCTCGAACCAATCGGTTCCAAAACTTTTTTTGGAAATATATTATCATCTTCAGGTGGTTATACTTCAGGGCCTCCACTTCTAACAGATGTCTGGTTTTTGTGTTGTGCTGTTGGTTTTTTTTTTTTTTTCCCATCACCCCCAGGCTCAGAGAAGAACGGGATACTGGTGAGGTGACCATTGGGTGGATGGATACGGTGGGGCTCGCGTGAAGACAGAGAACCGTTATCACCAACTGCTGTTGGCAACCAGGTGCCAGCTCCCCTTGGCATGAGAACGGAATGTAGGTGAGCTGAGGTGAGCTGGGGGATCCTCTCGTTACCCTGGAATCCAGTGGTGTGACCCCAGACATTGCATGGAATGCTCTGATTCTATTTCCCTGCAAGACTCAGACACATAGAAGGAGTGTTGGCTTGGGTTTTTCCTCCGATATCTGATAGCTTGTTGGGAGCAGAGGCTGCTAGGAAAACAAGTTTATGCCTGTACAGAGAAAACAGTTCCCAGTGGAGATAAAATGATTAAACTCTGCTTTAGCCCCTTATCAGATTGAAACATCCCTGTCCCTTTGGCCTTCCACCCCACCCCAAACAGCTATGTTCTGGGGCTGTGTTGTTCTGGTTTAATTACAGAACAAAAGCTGTAGCCTCCACACACACCTAGAGCTGGGCTCTTCAAGAGTCTAAGGAGAAATGGTTCCTACCACCTTTCCCAGTAGCAAATGGGTGGGATGATAGGACGTTTTGTCCTCCAATATTCTCAATGACTTCCTGATCAGCCTACACTCCTGATCTGAAACTGGTCCTTCGCAGGAAGGTAGGTCACACCCATCTTGGCAGCCCAGACACAGCCCTGCGAGTCCATATTATTATACAAAGAATGCAGGGCAGGAAATTAAATCAAAAAGACCAAGTTTAAGGAAATGAGCGATCTTGAGGAAACCACCTAATCTGCCCTCATTTTACAGATGAGGACACCAACAGCACACAGCCCTCTTATTTCATGGGGCTGTTTTGAGAATCCAGTGAGAAAATGGATCGGAAAGCACTCGGGAAACAGGAGCTGTGCTACAGTTATTAGTCATGACTGTGATCACAGGTACTCTGGCACACCTGGTCGCTCCACGGGGACAAATACAGGGAAAGTGCGTATTACTGGGATATATTTGGGTTACACGGTCGGGTAGAATCCACCATTGTGTTTATACACCAACGATTACATCAGCTCTGTTAGGAGCCTGCCCTGTCTTTTCCCTCTATAAACAGGTCACTCGTGTCAACACGTAGGAGTGGGTGTTGGAGCAGTTAACACGGACACGGCCTCGGGCCTTCGGGAAGCCTGGGCCCCGCCGTCCCCAGCGGAGGCAGCCGCAGCAAGATTCACCTAGTTCTGGACTGTGTTTATTTATTTATTTTCCAGCGCAGACGCTGAAGAGAAGGAAGAAAGATAACACTTCTGGGCCCAGAGGAATCTAATTTGGGGCTCTCCTGAGCATTACGGAGTGGAAAATATCCTTACACAAAGGAAGGTATTATATGGAAGAAAAGTGCTAATCCAGAGCTTTGCTCCCTGGCCCCCCCACCCCCACCGTGGCATCTGCGCCAAGGGTTGGAGCTGGTGACCACAGGGAAAGGGTGGGCCTGGGTCAGAGAGGGCAACGGGCTTCTAGGCTTACAGTCAGCTGGAGGGCACCACTGACTGCTGGTAACTGCAATTTATTTTAAGAAGAAATTCAGAAAAATAAGTGCAAAAACACCCAAGTTTGCAGCCTGCTGCTGTTTCTATACTCGGCCAGGACTGTGGTACATGAGTCACTTGGTCCAAAAAGGTTGGAAGAGGCTGGTAGGGGAGGCCATGTCATTACAAGGTTGCAACACGGTGTCCCGACCTAACCCCCCATTTGTGCTCCTGATGAAAAAGGTAGCCCACAGCGCGCCAATCCCTTCCCACCCTCCCAGGCAGGGGGCCAAGAAGCCAGTCTTAGTAAGTAGCTCTGAGAAGCGAAGCTCTCTAGTGGAGGTGGACAGGTATCACACTGCCATGGATCAAGGGACTGTGTATTAAGGGGCCAGGAAAAAAATACAACCAACGATCTGTCTTGGGAGCTGGCTGCTGACCTTGTTCGAATAGCCCATGAGTCCAAGGTAAGGACTGGGATCAGAATTCCAGCTAGCCAAATGCCTCGGGAGTGCCATCTTGCAAAACATTAAAATCTGAACCTCCGATACATAAAAGAAAAAAACTGACATTTATTGAGCACCTGCTGCATTTATTGAGCACCTGCTGCATGCCAGCCAGGCATGTCTCCAGAGACAGTATACACCATCATGGGACACCCACAGGTACTGGCATGGATGTCCCACCCTCAGGTATCCTCCCCCACCCACCGCAGCAGCAACCCCACACGGCTTCCTCCTCACTCCCTCCCCACACCTTTACCTTTCTGCAGGATCTCGAGATGTTCCCACAAGATGTCCCCAACGAAGTCCGGGGCCAGCTCGAGAAAGCAGTCCTTCCCGAGTGCACAGAGGGCTGCTCCATTCATACAGAACTTCTGGAAGTCCACACCTTTCAGGCTGAACTCATTCACGGCCCACATCACCCAGTCCCGAACATGGGTTTCTGTCCACTGCCGGGGGTCTGAGGAAAGAGATCAAATGAAGACCCAGCAGGTCAGGCTTTCCCTTGTGCCCAGGCCTTAGGGAGGACACTGAGGATCTGTTCTCTGATTCACAGGTTTAGGAAGCACCAGCCTATAAAGGCATGTAATGGGGCACTCTCCGTAACCTTCTCCCTGCCCCACACTCAACATCCCTAGCCTGCAAGCTCAGAGATCACGCCGATTAGCCAAAAAGTAAGATAGAAGTAGACCCCCACACCTCTATTCAGACAGAGACTGATGAACCTCCTCTCTCACAACCTTACTTTCATGAGGCTTTTTTTTTTTTTTTTAAAGCCCAGGACCGAGGAACAGAATGATGTCTTCCATAGCAATAAGAACAAAGTCAAGTGCGTTCTGGAGACTGCTCCCTCCTATCCCTGCTCTTCGCTGTCATGATTGACCTGAGATGTTAGAATTAATCATTTTTATCCTCGCTAATGATGGCTAGTCATAATCATAGCAACTAGTAATAGTAAGCCATTCAAATGGTCCTTAGTCATAACAGCATTATCAGGCACCTGATTTCATCATACCAGACACCCCGCAAGTGTGGAGCAGCATCAGAGAAGAGACAAGACGTGCTCTTCCCGCGTGGCTGGGGTTGAGCACGACTGAACCAGCGTGGCGCTCTCAGAGCTCCGAGGATGGCAGGAAGGCCGGCTGCGGGGCTCACAGTGCACCTGCTGCCCAGCCACACCCCACCCCCTTCAATCCAGCAGATGACTTTATGAGATGCTAGAAAACCCAAGCTCAATATTCACTTGATTCTGCTTTGTGATGCTAATAGGATGTTGGGCATTGCTGTCAGCCGAGGTTTGTGATGAAGCAGTATATACATGAGGAAAGGTTTGGAGGTACATTCACAGACTCTGTCTAAGATGTGGGTGTGACTGGACTGGAGGCAGCAGACGCATCGCTCTTACTCGAGAAAAAAGTGTTCTCTCTGCTCTCAGTTGCTCAGGAAATGTTGCCTGCTGGAGGCTTAAGTGTTCCCCAGTCATTTGTCCTTTCTGACCACTCCAGTCCCCTTACATCCCTGAACAAACCCTTTCAGAGGAGAACACCCATGCATAAACACATTTCACCAAAGCACATGGAAAAGAGAAGAGCAATCAGTTAAATTCCAAGGAATGTATCTCACTAAATTCATCCAGTGATGGCCCAGAATGACTCTAAGACTGTTTTCCAAGCTCAACTGTGCTCTGGAATTACCAGGAATTTCAACTTCACGGGCCTGGGACACGACCTGAGCTGTGGGATTTCTTGAAGTCCTGAATCTCGTGTGCAAACAACTTTGGGAACCACTGTCCAAGACCAAGATGGCAGTGTCAAAACCTGGGAGATGGGGAAGCACTGGCATGGGCCTACGATTGTTCTAGGAGACATGTGCCGCCATTTCCAGGGCCTGACGGAAGTGGTTAGTCATAATGTCTATCTCACACTACAGCTGAGATAACGAACCTCACCCAAGAGTCTGATCCCATCCCTCTCTTCTCCCAACAACAAAACACACCTTTGGGAATTCCCAGGCGTTGCTGTTCTTTAGAGAAACCACTGAAAGTAGCTTTCAATGCTTGAGACATCATTTCTTTGCTGCTTGGAGTCAAGAGTGGGACATCAGCACATTCCATATCTGTAAAGAAAAAAATAGATGAATAATAAAACAACACAGGTGATAAAGACTAGACACTGTCGTCATCATTAAGCAACAGATACAAATATCAAATCATTATGTCGTATACCTCAAACTAATATAAGCTAATTGTACCTCAGTTTTAAAAAAACTACTAGGTAGTTAACCACCCATAAAAGATAACAGGGCATGAATGGCTTGAAGAAGGCAATCTGAGAAATAACTGTACTAATGTCCTCACCAGGGCAGGTAAAATTTGGGGGGCTTTCCACCGTGTGCTAGGTCCCTAAAAAAAAAAAAAAAAAAAGACCAAAAAAAACCAAACCTGACATTTGACTAGAATGTTCTACATCCTTGACACACAAAAAAAAAAAAATTAAAAAATGCTTACTTTTTCTGCAGAGCTTTACTAATTCAGTCATAGCCCCTGCTCAACCTTCACATTCACTGAGAGAATTAATGTTGCTACCTACTTCCATGAAAAGGAAATGACAACATTCATTCATTCAATGCATCATCACTGAGCACTCGCTATGTGCAAGGAATTAGGGAAGCAAGCAGTAAGCAAGACAGAAATGATCTCTGCCCTCATGGAGCTGGATATCAGCGGCTGCCAGGAGATTCAGGCATTATAAAACTAGTTAATACAATTAAACATTCAAACACATCAATACGTGTTTCATAGGAGATGCAGAAGATGAGAAGTTAACATAGAACAAGAATTCCCGGAAGTTTGGAGGACTCAGAAAAGGCCTCTCTTAGGAGAACAGAGATGCTTGACGTGAGATCTAAAACATGCATACTTGTTTAAAAAAGAAAAAATACTCTAGACCAGTATGCCCCAGGTGTGGTCCCCAGACCACCTGCATCATCATCATCATCATCACCGGGAAACTGTTAAAAATTCAAATTCTCAGCTCTGCTCCGGACCTCCTAAATCAGAACCTCTGGGAGGGGGTAGGGGGAGCCCAGAAATCTGTGCTTTTAACACACAATCCAGGGGCTCCTGATGACCACCCAATTAGAGAACCATGGTCCTAGACAACGGGAAGAGCACAGACGAACTTTATGAAATGGGGGGAGGAGGGGAAATGTGGCCCATTTTCCTATCAAAAAGATCAATGCAGTTGGAGCAGAGGAACCAGGACAGTTGATTGAGAGGAGGTGGCAAGGTAAGCATGGGCTTTTTTAAGGCACCCTAATGGACATGAAGTGGTACCACACTGTAGTTCTGATTTGAATTTTCCTAATGACTAATGAACGTTAGCATCTTTCCATGTGCTTATTGGCCATTTTTGTATCTTCTCCGCAGAAATGTCTATTCTAGGGTTGTGCTCATTTTTAATAGAGTTGTTGGGCTTTTGTTGTTGAGTTTTAGGAGCTCTCAATATACCTGAAAGAGCTGAAGCAGGGTCCTAAAGATAGATTTGTATACCTCTGTTCACAGCAGCATTGTTCACCATAGCTAAAATGTGGAGGCAGCCCAAGTATCCATCAACATATGAATGGATAAGCAAAGTAGTATATACATACAAGGCGGTAGTATTCAGCCTTAAAGAAGGGCATTCTGACATGGACTATGGCATGGATGAACCTTCACATTATGCTAGGTGAGACAAGCCAATCACCAAAAGACAGATTACATGAGGTCCTTCAAATAATCAAATTCATGGAGACAGAAAGGGGAATGGTAGCTCCTAGAGCCTGGAGGGAGAAAGGGAACAGGGGGTTGTTATTTAATGGGAACAAAGTTTCAGTTTTACAAGATGGAAAAAGTTCTGGAGATGGATGGTGTTGACGGTTGTACAACGCTATGAATGTACATAACACCACCGACCTGCACACTTGAAAAGGGTTCAGGTGCTGAATTTTATGGCAGGTATATTTTATCACAATATAAAAATGGAAAAAGAGAGAGAGAGAAGATCACCTATTTGGTAAAGAATGGTTGAGCAGATAACTAGGAATAGTGGGAACACTTGGTAAAAAGTTCTTACAGTAGCTGTGGTGAAAGGGAGATGGTGATACATGTAGCATAAGAGGACGAAGTTGAAGTGCATATGTGAGGTAATATCTACCCTGAAGGTGGCGAGGAAGAGTGAAGGCTCAAAGTCCGCACGTCCATGAACGTGTCATCCTTTGCTACATCCATCTCTATTTTTATCTCTATGTCCAATCCCTCTTGTAATGACAGACAATGTTCAAAGCAAAGATACATAAATATGGCTCAGGTTAAAAATCCCCAGTATTCACCTTAAGTACAAGTTCCCGCAAAAAGCTCATGGGCAAAAAAAAAAAAAAAAAAAAGTAAAACAAAAAACCAAAACAAAACCCCTGAGAATTCCTACTAACCATGGCATGATCTTAGGGCAGTGGTACACTTTGCTGTAGTAATTTCCAGAAGCCCTCTTCCTCACCCTGGGTCTTGAGGGTATCATATGAAACTGACTCATACAATGGCTGGGTTCCAGGCAATGCTGCCATTGGTGTTCCTCAACTAGCCATCCCGGCCCCCTGACCAGTAAAAAAAAATTCCCTGGACATCTGTATCTGTACTGGCTGAATTAAATGGAAACACAGAAGGGAAAAGATGATGACTGGTGATCTCTGAAAAAAGGAGCAAATAAATTGCCTCCAAACGTCAAAATGAACGGAAACTGCATTGCAAGAGAGAAGAGCGAGCACTTTCTCTCTGGTTTGCTTTGAGTGATGCCTTCAGGAAACAGCTTGCAGTCCAGCTCTCCCCTAAAAGCACAGAAGAACTCATAGCAGCTACTCCCCAGGCCCTGCCACCGAGGGTGGATTTGAAGTTCTAGGGAGGGGAGAGCTTGGGCTGCCCTGGGCCAAGCCCAAAAAAATCTAGTAATCTAGTGGAAAAATCAACATGCCTCCAGGAAGGTTGACAAAAAGATGGAAAATCCCAGATTGTTAAGAGGGAAAAATGGGGGGAGGGGATAAAATTTTGATTACATAACATCTAGCCCTTCAAACAATGGAGTAATCATCAAATGAGTCACCGAGACAGACATCAATACTGCCCCTTTGTCCCCACTCTACACACCCAAGAACAGCCAAGTGCCAGGTCCAGAAATGTCTCCACTTAGAGTAGAAGTCGGTGTCACCTCAGAGAAAGGGACTTTTTATTTCACCTAAGAACATTCCTTTTGAAAGCATCCTGGCCTCCTAGCACAGGGCAGAACACAGGAGTCAATCAACAAATGTTTAGTGAATTCACTGTTTTCCAAATTTGAATCAACTTCCCATCCCTTCACTCCTGTCCAACACAAATGCATGAATTTGAACTGTGTGGGTTTTGTTTTGTGTGTTTGTTCCCGCCACTGATTTATGATTCGATGAAAAGAACTTTACTGATGGCGGAAATTGTCCAGGACAACACATGTGGAAAATACAGGCCGGGCCAAAGGCACAATGGTTGTGCGAGAGGCTGGAACTGAAGGATGGGATTGGCTAGGAGGCCCCAGGCATCTCCTACACGGAAGATGTCAAGGGGATGTGAAGGCCAAGGATGACAGCAGAAAGCCTAAGAAAGAGGTTTCCTGGAGTCTACTTCCTATAACCCTGCACGCTTTGACAGTAGGGTCTGGACATAACCACTGGCCTGACAACACTCCATGCAGGTTCCTGCTTCCTGTTAGGGAACCAGCCCTTCCAGGCTCTCACTCGCTCTCTCCAAGAGAAGCAGCTGGAATACTTTTGCCTGTCTACCTCAATGCCATCTCCAAAAGCCTGGTCCCCATGCTGTCAGCTGCAGCTGCGCCATGCCCATCAGCTCTGTCCCTGGCTGCTGGATCTCTTGGAAAAGTGCTCACAGCCTCACAGCCCAGCTGGCTGGCGAAGGCCAACCCCGCACACTTGGGACACCTGCATTTGGGCTCGATGAGCTCAGGAGAAGGCATGTTATTGCCCTTGGACACAAAGGATTCAGACAGGAAAAGTAAGAGCTTTTCTCCCTTGTTAAACAGCAGGGAGCATTGGTTTAAAAAAAAAAAAAAAATGCAAACCCTCCCCTCTCTAAGTGAATGAACAATTAGCCAGGATTGGCTTTATCAGTAGTAGCCTGGGCATTGCATTTAAATGATGATGAATAATCATATTTGGAAGCAGACATTAATCTAAAAGATTAAATTGTCTTCATAGAAAATATGAACGCAAAAATTCCACCTATGGTGCTAGTTTGTAATCGCAGCAGTTCTGTTAATTACACTGATTGACAACAATAACAAAATCATTACACAGGTGGAGAATCCGACCTAGTTTAGCCCAAACAGGCCTCTCTGTTATTCCTGCCACATTTTAGCTCATGGTCTGTTATAATAGTTTTGCATCAGGTACCAAATATTTCTAATTGGAGGGATGGCATGTAGAAATTAATCAACCCCCCCCATCCCGGAAATTCACTAACTGTATTTCATGGACAAGTACTAAAATTGCCTTTGTGTTAATATTTGTAATTGCAGTATCTTAAATTCAAATAACACACTTGTCTCAAAATGCTGAGAACCTGTCCTGAAGATATATTACCCCAATACAGTAGAGACTCTAAACACAACACATGGGAAACTGAAAATATTTACGAGCATATTGGATTTCCTACCCAGCGATTATCCCTCAGGACCCTAAATGTGAGTTAATATTTATAAGAATCACCCAAAGTTTCAGAGAAAAGAGTTGTACAGAAGCCAGTGAATGAGTAACAGGCCCAAACTCTCATCTTAGCAAGACTGCACAGTATCGAGTCAGAAACGAGCAGGTAGCACTTCCTGAATTAGTAGGGGCGTAACAAACCAGGGCCATTCTGAATGCATGGAAACATCTGCTCATTTTGCATTGTGGCCTGACCCTGAACAAAAGTTTATATGCAACCCCAAGGATGTTTTAAGTCAAATGCAGAACAACGGTTTCAATTCAGTTATATGTAAGTCAAGGGTAAGGGCTATTCAATGTCCAAGAACCTGTCCAGGATGTTTTCATGTGACTTTTCATGCCATTCTGTTCAGTTGTTTGGAACCAAATGGCTCATATCAACCATGTTACATAGACTCTATGCCAGAAGTGATGTTTGTCCCAGGAGAAGTAAGGACAGCACCTTATTGACCTAAGATGTCTCTCTCCTCAAACTACACAATAAAGCAAAGCATTTAGGATCTGAATCTGAGGGTTAGTTGATGAGAAACAAAGCTAAGAACTAGAAATGCCAGGTGAATTATTCCAGTCTGCACAACCATCTAACTGGCCAAACCCTAGCAGGTTACCATGATGATACTATCTATGAGGGGGGGGGTGCACAGGTTGGGGGGGGGTTACTCTTCCCATCAAGAGCAGCATGCAAGAAACAACAACAATGGATAATATGCCTGACATCTGAAAACCAGTTTATGGTCCACTAAGACCCTTCATGAATACTATTTCATGGTATCATACATGAAATTTCCAAGGGTCCTTGGGAGGTACTACTGGATCCCCATTTTACAGATGAGGAAACAGAGCTCTGAGAGATCAAAAGCTTTGTGTAAAATCACAGGGCTGGACCTCTGTCTTTCAATTCTTAAACTCAAGCTCTTCCTACTCCATTCCACGGCTGCAGCAAATAGGATTAGATCAGAGATCCAAGGAAACTAAAATTTGGACAACTCAGAGAGAGAAAATGGGACTTCTATTTGTTAGTTGGAAAGTTAGATACATTTGAGAAAATAATTAAAAACTTAAAACCTTTCCTGGGCTGAACAAATCCAGAATTATGGAGCTAGCTCCATAAAGACATAATTAAAAGCCATTTACAGAATCAACTGTAATCTTGCCCTTTCTCGGGACCATGGGTAGCGACGCTTCCTTCCTTCCATACAAAGTGACACAGGTTAAATGACAACCTGGCTTCCTTCCCTGTCTGTGTTCACCCCTGAGTCACCTTGATGGGCAATTGTGTGCATAATATAAGGTTAATTAGTTACATAAAGTCTTACTGAAACATGTTTCTTAAAGTGAAAAGAAACCAAGAAGAAGCCTTCTGGTCCATCCCAGGAGGAAACAGAACAGTAGTCCCAGCTGGAAAGAGAATTCTGAAGACAAGGAAAAAAGACATAGTGGGGCACGCACAGGGCTTGCCTTGGCTTGTTGGTCAAAACCCATGGACTCTTATCTCAGTTTTGCCACTAGTATAATCACACTGGATAAGTCACTTAATCAGTGCCTCGCTAAAAAGAAGTCTATTAATAGGTTCTACGTTAATGTTGAATAACATTTTTAATTTCCCTTATCGCAATTTTCAAACATCCACCAAAGCGGAGGGAAGAGTACAATGAAATCATATTCGAAATCTATCAACACTACTGGTTCCTAATTCATCTCCTTCCCTACACACTGAAGAACTATAAAGCTAATCCCAGACCACATGTCATTTCACCCACAAACATTTTATTGTCAGGCAAACATTCTCTAGATAAAGGAGGATCATAATAGGAAAGCTGACAAGAGACAGATAAACTCTTGGAAAAGGAAAATAAGGCTTCAGATTACCTTCCACGGTGCTTACAGCTAGGTCTACATTTTGTTTAACAGCCCATCTGAACCACAGAGCTTGTCTGAAAGCAACACTGCCATTATCTGGAAAGTGAGGACGTCAGATCAGAGAAAGAGGAGCTCAAATCAGGATGGAAAGCCAGTCCCTTGGATTCCCCTTCCTATAAGCAGAGAGCATGGGGATCATTCTTCCTAACGGTTCATGTCCGCATGACCTTATAACTGTAGCTAGGAGCGTGCAAGAAAAGGCTGGGGACGCTGGCGAGAATCCAAGGGGCAGTGCCAAGCCGCCTAGAAAGTCCCAGTGTGGGAAAGAAGGCATCTTTACTCCTTTAGATCAGTAGAAATAGAAAAATAGAAATAGAAAAAACTCTGACCCCAGAGTTGACTGTCCCTGGAAAGCTGTTACTGGTCTCTAAGAGGACTTACCCCGTGAAGACACTAATATCTCATTACAGTGTGACAGGGAATCTCAAATCCCTTCTCTGTTGCTCTCTCTCTCATTCGTGGACAGTGGATTGGAACTAGGGATCAAGAGACCTGTCAGGGTCCTCTTTCTCCCACACTCCTGATTCTAAATCCTGTGAAAGGCACTAGCAACTTGGCAGGCGGGCATTCCAGTGGAGGGCGATGGTCTAATCCACAAAGCCTCTGGGCTGAGGTTACCGCAAAGAAGGGAAATAAATGTCCCTCCCCGGCCCCTCAGCTCTGTTTTCACAGACCTAATGATGGGACAGAGTGATGAGGGACAGGCAAGGTGGTGCTCTGGCAAGCAGGGAGCAAGGTAGGGCTTGGGCGCCCCTTCTGAAACCACCCATCTCGACCCAACAGTCCATTGCTGCCCCACATAAGGGGACACCAGGAGCTCTGAAACAGACTCCTATCAGTTAGGAAAACCTACAACCAGGCTTCCGCCCTCCTCTTAATACCTAGTCTCCTACAAGTCACCCAACAATTAAAAAAACAAAAAACAGTCCAAAAAAGTGGTACAGAAAAATTCCCAATTCGCCCTCCAACAACCAGGCTGACCAAAAAGGCAAGCCAGTGTCCAGTTACAGCCTCTCGGCCCTGCTGCCCACGCACACTCCCACCGGGGAGTACACAGGGCTTGGGTACCCCGGGGCCACCTCCGAGGTGGGCGCCACTTCTTGGCCGGAAGCTGCCACAGGACAAGAGAGGTGGCCTCAAGGGAGGCAAAGCATGCTCCCCACCGCACTGGGAAACCGGCCCCGGGTCCCGCAGCCGGGCCTGGGAAAGAAGCCTTCGGAGAGGGCTTCTGAAAATCTGAACATCTGTAGGAAGTGACTTCAGTGCTCTCCCTTCTTCCCTCCATCCACCCCGGCCCCATCCCCCACAAGGAGTTTTAACACATTATTACCACTGAAGTCCTGAGGATTTGGTGACTCACCAGGCTCACACATGGTTCCAATGAGCCCTTGACCATTACATGGTAGGGGAGCAGGAAAAACAAATGAAAGCGGTTGTAATTCGGCAGCGCTGGAGTTCAGACCTGCCAGACAAAAGGGATTGCAGGCATGTTCCCAAATCCGTTCAGGCACCTGACATGCAAAGCTATTTTTAATCACTGGATTTATTTCTTTCCTACGCCCTCCACCATCCTCCACCTCAGCAAATGTTTCGAAGTCAGAGCAGAATCCAAATTAATTCCAGGTGTTCAGGGAAACCCAGAGAGGCTCTTCCGTTCCAGAATCGGAGCCAGAAAACAGAACTGCCCCCTGGGTCCTGCAGCTAAATTTTCTTGCTCTCTACTTAAGAGTAGTTCAACTCTCCTACCCTACACATTGGGCACATGGCCTGAAAGAGGAAATATTTGAATGAGTGCGCCCCGCTGGAATGACTCCTCGGTTCTGCGTTTTTTCTAGCAGCCCTGGCAAGAGAAGGTGCACAAGGACAGGTCTCCAAGAGCAACGAGACGGAGCATTCTTTCGTTATCCGGGATTCTCTCCCCACCTTACCAGGACATTTTCTTCCGTCCCCCCCCCCATTATTTTCATTACTAGGAGGTGCTCAGTAAGTAACCAGTGACTTGGACAGAACTAAAAAGCATCTTGTAAAATATCAAGACTACAAGAAAAAATACACAATTTTACTTCCTAATGCTTTGAGAGACAGCGAGGAGAAGGAATCTGGCAATTTTCCCAGGTACAAGGAAGCAACTGAGAAAATAAGAAAAAAATGAACACAAAAATCCGATTCTGAGATGTCAACGGAAATTGACATCTCCTCAATCTGGCTCTTTGCTTTAACGGAACAGACTAATATCTGACCATTCTGCACCCTCCAGTCTGTTAAGGGGGAAACCTGTTTCACAGCAATTATCATCTCAAATGTGCCTTGCCAGGACAACACCTCACAGCTCCAGGATCCAGCGCACCTAAGAAGCCTTTTGGTTTCCAAAAGGCCCTAAGAGTGCCATTTCAGAGTCAATATGGCACAAAACAAAATTGTAATTTGGGGCTCAAAACCCTTTTCTAGGTGTTCGAAATTTGCCAAACCCAAGCTGCATTTTATCCTCGTCATTCACGTGCCCTTCGATGAAAGACACTCTCACGATTTAAAATGGGTGGCTCAGTGGGTTAAGCGTCTGCTTTCAGCTCAGGTAATGATTCCAGAGTACTGGGATCGAGCCCCACGTCGAGCTCTCTGCTAAGTAGGGAGCCGGCTCCCCCTGCTCTCTCTGCCTGCCTCTCTGCCTACTTGTGATCTCTCTCTCTGTGTCAAATAAAAATAAAATCTTAAAAAAAAAAATAAAAATAAGTACACTTAGCCTCTTTAAAAAATAAATAAATAAAAAATAAAAGAATGTTTTAATTGTGGAGATTCGGATCCCTGCATAAAAAGGGACAGCGCAACAGAGTATTTTAAATAATCAAAAGTTCTGACATGATCCTTTCAAGCCATTTATTGCGTATGTCTCATGCTTCATATCATTTGCTATGTAGAGGATTACACTTGACTCCCACCACACCACACATTTTACAAGTCCTGAATCTCCCAGAACTGTGTGACTTCTTTGTCATGAAAAATACAGAGAAAAACAAAGAGCCCCGTTTCTGTATTACTCAGGAGGAAAGCCTGAATTGGCCCCTTTCGGCCCCAAAGCTTTGCAGATGGCCTCAGGATCTCCTATGGGCTCTTCTGTCACACCTCTAGGTGAGGCCAAACTCTGGCCCTGCCATCAGCTAAAATCCTCATGATGGGACCATAAGGCTTTTGGTGCCAACGTAGCCCAGGATCACCCACTCAAGAAGACTCGGGAAAATATGTGACAGGCTTCATCTTGTTATAATCCCAGCATCCTCTTCTTCAACTTCACACATGGGCCTTTGATGCCTCCCTCCCTGAGGCCCTGGAGATGCTCGTTAATTGTGGGCTGAGTAATTTATTTTCACTTCACTTGCCTCCCGCCCTTGATTTTTCAGGACTGTTATCAGAACAGAATCTCACATTTTACAGAACCTTCTCCCCCATATTCTAACATAATCCTGAAAACGACCAAGTTTGTGGCATTATCTCCACCACATAGGTGAGGACACTGAGGCTCGAAGAGGTCACTTGAGTGACTTTGCTAAGATGGTCAGGCCAGTGCAGTGGTCCAAGCAGCACACAAACCCAGATCCTCAGATACCAAAGCCAGGTGTTTTGTACCCAGACCTATTCGCAGAGGTAAAGCAGGGCCGGCAGAAATGCTGAACACCAGGACATTTCTTTCCGTTTCCCCCCATCATTTTCATTATAGAGAACATTCCTCCCGGAGAAGGAAAGCACCTCCTGAGACCCTCTGTAGAGAGCAGTCACATCACCAGAGCCAAGGGGTCTCACCACACATTCTACCCCAACCCGCTCGGCTCAGGGCCCATCTGACCCTTGATCTGGGGGGCAAGACAGGCATGGCGGGAGTCAGGGGGGCAGTGCTCATGAGGATCACCAGGAAGGCCAGGCTGGCCAAGGTGGAAGATGAGGAGTTTTCTCCACGGGCAAAGGAAAAATCTGGGCAAACAAATGGAGTGGAGCCCGTTTATTTAGGCTGGAAGAGGTAAAGTTTTTCTGCACTTTTGAACTGTTTTCTCAAGGCCTGACTCTCCCTCCCACGCAGGAAACAAACACAGAGACAGGCCTCTTGCAGTGAGGGCTCTACTCGCTGAAGGCTAGCCCAGGAGAGGCAGAAGGAAGAGGGGCGCAGGGTGGGCGGCAGGGTCCACAGGCGGGGGTGGGGGTGGAGGGAGCTGGGGGATGGGCAGACAGGGAGAAGCTGGCAGAGGAGTGGTAGGGGAAGAACTGGCAGGGAAGGCAGATGGCAGAGAAGGAGAGAGGGAAAGAAAGAGGGCGCAGAGCAAGGAGATACTGGGAAATCTTAAACCAGAATAAAGGCCAGAGCAGAGAGTGGGAGAGGACTGGGAAGAGCCAGCACCTTCCAATTAATGATGTTCAGAAAGCAGCATTTTTCCATAAATTTTGAAAAGGAAATTCTCTCTCGACTTTCTTATTTATTTATACATTATATAAATACATTTCTAAACCAAAAAAGGACCGTTTTTTCCAATGGGAAAAAGCCTTGTCTGAGATGAAAGCCAGTCTTCAAAAACCCCTTGGAGGAAGCTAAAACCCCACATGTCTTGGTGCTACAGAAAGAAAAACAAAGTGGACATTCTTCCTGTGTTCTAAGGCTTTTTTATGCAGATGTGTTTTTCTTTTAATAAATAAATCTGGACAGAGAAGGAAAAAGCATACTCATACACATTCACACAGTGCAACTGTCTGCTTTCAACCCAGGGAAACCACAGTGAAAAAGAAGAATGCATAAGTCCATTTTCCCAGTACAGGGACAAATATTCTCAACAGGACAGACCACAGCCAGGGACATGATACACTCTACATATGTAGCCCAAGGTCCCCAGATGGACAAAGGACGATGTGTGAACGAGTAATAACAATCAGAGGTAAGATCGGACCTGAGACCCAAACAAACACCATGCTTCCCAGAAGGGCCCTGGCGGTCCTGTAGGATGCCACCTGACTTGCTAAGACATTCAGTTGCTCTGTCCCTTTTGAGCCATTCAATTTTCTTTATGGACTGCAATCATGATTTCTTAACGATTACACACATTGAGTTCAAATCTGCCCTCTAATGAGTTCTAGGAGGAGAACTTCTCCTCTGAGAAGGAGGGCTTTGTCCCTCCTTCTGTGGGTTGAGACCACGTATACAAGTTTCATCTTTCTTCATCTATCAGTTTCCTGACTGCTTTAACATCCCTTTGTCACCACTTCTATCCAGGTTTTTAAATTCCTTGGTGGTGCCTTCAAGCATTCATGATGGGCTCATTCTGTCCAGCCCCCCACCCAGAAGCATTCCGGCATGCCCATGTTCCTCAAAGGCATCAGGAGCATTCCCAGGCAAACACTGTGCTCCTCAGGAGGAAAGGAGACCTCCCCCTTCCCCTACACCACTCACTTCTGTGGGTACAGACCAGCACTGAGTTTTCCAACAGCTACACGACAAAAGCCACTCAAAGTACACTGAAGCTGAGCCAGTTCTCTACCCGTTGACTGAATCTTATTAACCTCAGTGGAAGGCTTCACATTTATCCATATTGAACTTGACCTCGTTTGTTTTGATCCCTGTTTCCTGGTGCAGAGATCTTTTTTTTACATTACGAAGCTGTCCCCTTCCCACTAGCTTTGCACCATATGCAATTTAGTAAGTATGTTTTCCTTATCCTTCTCTGATATGAACCCCTGATAAAAATGTTGAAAAGGCAATGACCAAGTCCTGAGCCCCGTAACAGCAGAGACCACACATCATTCTGACACGCATTCATCAAGACCGTTTTGGGTACAGTAGCTCAACCAGTTACAAATCCTCCTGATTTTACCATGGTTGGATCCATGTAGCCTCAACTTGACCACAAATATATCATGGAAAGACTTGGACAAAAGCTTCAATGGAATAAAAATACAAAGCTCAAAGATTCAGATGACATGTCCAATGTGAGACCAGTTCCCCCCAGGTTCTCCCTAAGTGCCAGACAAGTGGAAAGGCAGCAGAGGAAAATGGAGCTTGGATTCAGATCTGTGCAGGACAGAGATAGAGAAAGAGACCCAGAGAGGGAGGGGGTGGGAGGGAGGGAGGAAGAGAGAGAAGGAAGGGCAGGAAGGAGAATGAGAGAGAGCACTTGGAGAGAGCCCTACAGTCACTTTGCATCCAGAAACAATGGGCACTTAGAGAACAATGGCTACAGACAAAGTCTTGGTCTATTTATATCTGCCACTGTTAGTCCCAGACAGGAGGAACTGGAAGTCTGCCCTGTATGCACGGCTCCAACTGGACCAGAGCTGGGAGGAAGATGAGGTCACCAAGAATGCTGCCTCCTTTGAACAGGCTCCTTTGCTGCTTGCATAGTTTCTTCTTAGCCTAAAGGATCTCTTTAGCCAAGTAAAGAAGTTTGCTTGCCTACTGCTAAAATACAGCCACTGCTGAGAAGGCCCGGT